GGATTTTCCTTGGCAAGTTGACTTCTGCCATTGGGAAATGCTATAGCTCAATAACGGACCACATGCAAAATGCATGAGAAGCATCATGGCCCAATATCTGGATTCCCAGATAAAAGTGGGCAAGATACATACCCCTGTACAAGCCATTCAGGATTGCTGGTACAAGCCAGTGCAAATATACTGGGATAGACAGACCAGTAATTTAACTATGTGGGACCTTTACAGGTTCCTCCTGGTAATACTTCTACCACCAGCATATTTATTTTACTTGTCATCTTCAAGAAACTTTCCACCCTTCTAGTGGAAAATGTCTGGCAGGACAGGGGTGCAAAGATCATCTCCAGCACACCCCCTTTTTCTGCACTGGATGACCATAACATTTTGCCCTAAATGCCTAATAATTTTTTACCTGTTGTACAAAGCAGAACAATACAAAAATATGAATAAATTCCCCCCAAAGTGATCAATATTATAGAATTAATAAATATTCCAATAAATCACAGAGTATAGTAAAAAGACCAAACATGTATAAAAGGGATTATAATAATAGAAACTAAAAAAATCCAAAATGCATGATTTTAAAAAATGTATTTTGGTATCCTATAGATTTTTGCATGTATTAATTTAATATTCTTTGAATGTTTAGATTGAAATATATTGAATATATTGTTCATATGGTTTTCTAGTTTTATACTATCGTTATAAAAATGACAAGATTTGTAAGATTAAGGACATGAGCATTATCCCTAGTTTGCTTTTCTTGGATTTAACCAGGCTTTATATGTCAAAGCAATGCTGAAGTTAAGCAGAAGAGAATCCTCTCTAAGTTAACAATACTTAATGCTGTTGTGACTTTTCTACAAAAAGTCCACTTGATGGCAGTAAGTATCAGTTACATATCTGAGAAGAGATATGTAACTGATACTTTGACATGATTTAAAGGGGTTCCTATTTTAATCCACAAGTGAGTTTCTTTTTTAGTTGTTGAACTTGTTGTTCTTGATTCTGATAGTCACTTTATGATTCTAACTGTAAAATTTTCAGGTGTTATCACAATTATAATTATATATAGGCCTAATCATTATTCTCTAATTGTTAATGTTATATTGCATTGCTTAATACTGCACAGGACCACCAGACTGTGGGAGGTGACTTCAAAGAGAGTTTATTTCCACTGTTAGGCAAAGGTATTCCAGTTCATAAGATACAAACTGTGGTGAGCTTTACACTGAATTTAGTGTAATTGACATTTGGCATATTCTGCATCCAGGAGAGGGTTTTATCATAATTGTCTTCCGCTAGGAGTTTTGTTTTTTTTTGTTTCTTCATCTTTGTTTCATCAAATTAATGCTTGTACAACAGACTCTGTAGGCGTTTCAGAGCATGCCCCTTTAGTGCCTACGTCCTTAATCATGGAATGTTTAAGGGTGCAATCCGATTCCAAATGCCCTCAGCCCTCTAACTTGGAAGATTATAGACATTCTGTGCAAAGCAGAAGGATCTCCCCTCATTCCATAAGGCATTTAGATTTAGATGGCTGATTTTGGCCATCTAAGTACAGCACATTGGGACAAGAGTCATAAAGTCACAGAACCATAAAATCATACAGTAGGAAGTGGTCTAGCAGATCATTGGGTCTAACCATCAACTCAATGCAGAACTTGTCCCCCATCCAGGTTTGACCCTGCTTAGCATCCAAGATTAGGCAGGATCAGGCAGAAAGCTAAGATATCACCAAGATATAATTAAACTTGAATATGCTAGTTTTCTGCCCAAACCCTTCTCAAGGTCACTCTCAGAGAAGCCACCAGCTTCGTTCTTCCTGTACCCACCAAGGGTGGGAGGAGGAATCAGAGCTCTGATTGTCAGCAACAAGGTCGGAGTGATTCTCTAAATGTCTCTGGATTGTGGCTAGTGATCCAAGCAATCCTGTGGCCATCTAGACAGCATCTGACATGCAGAGGATTGTTCTGCTAATCACAAATCACTGCTGGGTTACTAGAGCACTTTACAATCAATAAGGGTACAGCTCTAGGTGGGAGACCTTTAAACCTTTTGCCCAGGGCTGAACAATTATGCATCTCATAAAAAATGAACAGTGCAACTAATATTTAAATAATAAGTTGAAAATTCTTTTATTCCAGGTTGCTAATTGCTTCATTCCACAACTAAACAGGATTTAGAGAATGTTAAATAAGAGTTGGATGATACTGTCTCAACAGAATGAATTTTCTTTAATTGGTTTATACCACATACTTTGGAAAAATCGAGAGTGTCCAGTAATCTGGATGGTACCCAGATGGTGTTATTTATTGTAGACGACTCTCTAATGATTAAGTTTAATTTGAACAAATTGGTTATTGGAATTTCTTAAGATTTAGCTAGATGGACATCATAAAAATTGAGTTTGCAGATAAACTAAATACACAGGATGAATACTATAACTTGGATTGTTTATGCTGTATGTGGTGTTCCATTTTCTATACCCGGTGAACATTTATTTGTTTCATTTTCTACAATTTTGGAGGATTCTTTTCCACCAAGATTATCCTTGAGAAGGATGCAACCCCCAATTTAAAAAAAGGTAGATTTGGTTTTCTGGAGCTTATTTGATATCATACCAACCCATGCTGAATTTTGGTATTTCCTTTCTGCATCAGTTCTTCCACCTTAATCAGTTCTGATATCTTCTTACCTGGATCTTCAATCTAAATAGATCATATTAGGTTCTAGAGATACGAGAATATATAGGATCCTCCCAAATTTCTACAATTAGAGAGTAATGTGATTCATCTTCTCATACTAAATTGACTTTGTGTGACAATTTAGATATAAAACTAGGTAAGAAAATCTGGTGGTGGGCATGGATATATAGGGTGATTTTTACTTTGGATCAACTGGTAGATGCCAATGATGAATTGTTGCCATTTTCTATCCTGTGTGCCAAATATGGCTATGGCTGAATAGTTGTCAGGGCCCAGGTCTAGGACATGGGTGGCCAGAGGCAAGGCAGAAGCACCAGGACCAGGGCAACAGAACTCAAGGCAGGACAGGGGCCAAAGTCCAAAGACAAGGATTAATGGCAAGTCCAAGTCATGGTCCAGGCCAGGAACCAGGAGCACAAACAGAGGTGCAGGTGGCTTGAGGCAGGATTGTTGTGAAGACAAAATGAAGAGAAGGAAGAGGATTGTGTATGCCATCTTGGATTCCTTGCAGGAATCCGTGTGGGTTATAAACAGAACAAACAAACAAAAACGGTTCCCTGTCATACAATTGCTTTAAAATAAAAGCATCCACATCTACCAAAGCAAAAGGAGTGGTGGCTGCCTCTAGAAAGCAACTTCCTATTGTTATAACTACAGGAAGGAAAACTCTGAGAGGGCCATTCATTGATGGTCTTTAGATTGTATATATATCCCAAATTCAGGACATACACAATTCTATAGACATTTAATTTTACAGCCTCTAGGGTGCAATCCAATGCAGATGCTTGTAAGCCGCTGAAGGATTATGAGCAACCTATGCAGGAAGGAAGCTTTGCAGAAGCACACATCAAAACACTTAGCCAACTGATCATGGCTAAATTGCATTCTGGGGGTGCTGGTCCCCTCCTCCCCCACCCCCCCAAAAATGTCGAAACAATCTCAGAAAAGTGCTGACACAGTTCTTTCTCTGTGGGATTCTGTGGTCGGAGCTGGGACTCTGAAAAATCCTAGGTGCCATATATTGACCATAGGATTGTGCTTACCATCACTGGATGAAAGGTGAGGCAATCTCGGCAGGAGATCTTAATGGCTTTTAACCAAAAATTGCATAATACAATAATGTATAACAGACATATAAAAGTACGTACCTCTCTTTTTTTCCTAAACTCAACTTCACAATCAAGCTTTAACAGATGCATAGGGCCATTCTCATGCAGGGCAAAGAGACTGTATTTTCTATTCTTATGACATTAAGCATGCTCCAGTATATATCATAATTTTATAGTTCCACTTCTATTGAGCAAAATAGATGAGATTAAAATAGGCCCACTGGTCTGTGAAAATCATGTACAAATGTGGATCATGCACCAACAACTTTTTCTTGGTCTTTCAGGCCCAACTGTAAATGCAGAAGATGGAGCACCTTCAGTCAGCAAAGATGCCCCACATTATCCTGGTCCTGTATTGCCTTGGGGGATATCTGAGTGCACTGCTCTGCTGGAGGATGAGATCTAGCAGTGCAGAAAGGGAGGGGATAGACTTCCGCCAAGGACAGAATTCTGGCTGGCAATCATCCAGCTCAAGCAATCTGGCAAGGATTTTTATGCATGCTGCTTGCAAAGAAGATCCCCTCTGTAGATCAGAGTTTGCCAGGGGACAGACATTTGCAGAAGTAGCAATGGGATATGTGAGAGAGATTACAACCACAGACAGCGTCAGCAAGTGACCCAGACATAAGCAGGAAGAGGGGACCTAAAGAACACTGCCCAAAGAGGAAGTGAATTGAGGCCCAAAATAGCAATTTCAAGAAATGAACTGCAAAGAGAAAGAGAGACCCACAAACCAGGGGTGGGGGAGCCTTTCATCCTGTGTGAGAATGTGCAGCAGTGTATTTTGCTGTGACAATGCATGAGTTCAAACCACTAAATCTAGTCATCCCTCTTTAACGTCAAAAAGCCCTGCCCAGTCCTTCTAAGTTATTCACTAAGTGTGTTAGTTTAGCATGAATTATTCTAACCCAGCAGTTGAGCATGATGATTGACATTTAAGCTGTTGAAAAGAGGGTTGAACGTGTGGTCCCGCTTCTTCTGCACTTTTAAGATTAAGAAAGGCCAGGAGAGCTTCTGCAGAGCTGCTCAGTATTGCAAAGCCTGTGGGAAACATTTGAGGTCTTGCTGGTCGTCACTGTCAGTCCTTATGCTCACTGTCAGCACAGCCTTGATGCACTTCCTCCCCATGTGGTTGGAAAGAAATAGGGCTTTGTCTAGCACAGTGTTGTTGCCTCCACTTTTAGATTCAGCCTCTGGAGCATGGAGCAAAGTGGCCATCTTCATGGGTCCCTGGGTAAGTTTCCCTCCTCCTTCCCCACGACTCTCTTCCTCCTTCTGCAGCTTTCTTCTCTTCCCTTGCCTTCCCTATTTCCACTTATTGGCTAAATTCACTCCGTAACTGCATGAAAACAAGAGCTTGCCAAAGGTTTGCAGCTAGTATTCTGCAGTAGATTCATTTTCTTCTTATATTTCACTGTGTCCCCTGTCCCAAGCAGCATTGCAGAGTTGTCATTGCACTTTGTTCTGTCTTTTAATATTTCTTATGGATTGTGTTTTTGAAAGTAAAAAGATGGGCGGAAGAGTGGGAAACACAGGAGGGCTACAAACTGAAAAATTCACCTGCTGCACCTCGTGTACAATCCCTGAATAAGGTAGAGTGACCGCACAATAAAATCCTCATTTGGAAAACCTATCATGGCAAGACATCTTCCTCCACGTGCACATGGCTGGGGTTTGGAGCAGTCAGACCATGCGTTATTCTTCAATCATCACACTTTTTGGTACCCCATTTGTTTTTGTTTTATTGTTTGCCACCTTCTTGTTTCATAGCAATTTAAATGTATTGTACTTTGTTGTTTAGTCACAAAGTCGTGCCCAATCCATCATGTCCCCATGGACAACGTTCCTCCAGGCTCTCCTGTCCTCCACCATCCCTCAGAATCCACCCAAGCTCACACCCACCACCCCAGTGACTCCATCCAGCCACCTCAACCTCTGCCATCCCCTTCTTCTTTTGCCATCTATTGTTCCCAGCATCAGGCTCTTCTCCAGGGAGTCCTTCCTTCTCATTAGGTGGCCAAAGTATTTGAGCTTCATCTTCAGGATCTGGCCTTCTAAAGAGCAGTCAGGGCTGACCTCCTCTAAGACTGACTGGTTTGATCTCCTTGCAGTCCAAGGGACTCACAGGAGTCTCCTCCAGCAGTACAATTCAAAGGCCTCAATCCTTTGGCGCTCAGCCTTCCTTATGGTCCAGCTTTCACAGCCATACATTGCAACTGGGAAGACCATAGCCTTGACTAAAATGCATTGTACATCATAGTATATATTTTGTTATTCATGTATTTGCCTGTTGCTTCTGGTAGCCCACTGATTTGTGAGTGTGTTTTTTCCTCTGCCCCACTCCTTGGTGAGCTAAAGGAAGAGGAGTTTGGGGCAGGGTTATTGCTTTATCTATCTGATAATCTTACTAAGAATAGAAATAATTAACATGATGAAACATATCATTAAGAGAGAAAAGATCATAAAATCAAGAGCAGCACTACAGCTGCTAGAACCTCCTGTCTGTTTTGTCCCTGGCTGTTCTGGGCACCTCTTTGAATGCCTCTAGCAAGCCGTAGTTCTCTGTGATAGCCAAATTGGCCAAACCAGCAGAAGCCTGAGATACTGTTTTTTCCACCTCTCACATGGTTTTCAAGCCATTGGTATTCAGGGCAGCAGCTCAAGTTGCTCTTTCAAAAACCACAAAGGGCATCCCCCCCCCCTCTCACACACACACACCCCATATTTAGATTTCTCCATTAACAAACCAAACCTGGGGGTGATAAAGGGAGAAGTTTCATCTGCAACAATAATGGTCTATTCCTGGGCTACAGTCCCAGCCTGTAAGTTTTCCTATGAATGTTCAGCTTGTCTGTCTCTTGCTCAGCTCGCTGTCACCACTGTCTAAGCTGTCTAGCTTCCTCCTCATGAGCTCTGAGAACAGAGTGCTGGACTGGATGGACCCTGAGTCAGATCCAGCATCACTTTCCCATGTCCTCACTCAGGAAACGTAGGACACCAGACTATGAAACCTCAAACTGGCCTAGTCCAAGCTTTACACATACCAAATCTGAGGCTGACATTTACCTTTTCTCTTTCAGCATCCTTCTCAATGCTTTCCTGGCTGGTCCTTCTTGCAGGTAACAAATATACTTAGTTAAAATAATGCTGGTGAGGCCCTGAACAAACAGACAAAGAGGCAGTGGCCATGTTCACAAGGCCTTTTCAGTTGACCCAGGTAACGAAGGTCAAATGAAATGTGGTGTGCTCGTCTCCTAAGAGAGATGTATTTACACTTCAGCTTCTGTGTGTTTTTGTTTCTGCACAGCTGATTCCTTACTCTGAAGTCTAGAAATAGAAGGTTAGAAGTAGACAAAGATGCTGGCGGACACTGCTGTGACCAAGCACAAGTGAGGGAAAGGACTACCAATATGAAAGGAAGAGTTCTGGAAAACAGAGAGAGCAAATTTTTAAAAGACTGCAGGGTGGGCTGCAAAAGACCTTAAGCTGCTTGGGGAAAGGCAGATGGATTAGGTCTGGGAAGAACAGTCCAACTGACAGGAAACAAAGTCCAGGCCAATATTACAGGTGGTTGTATCAGAAAGGAGAAGTAAACAGATTGATCAAGGAGGCACTGCAAAGATCTAGTTCTAAAGGAGATGACGAGGAAATGACCTTCTCATTGCCCACTTTATCTTTTTCAGGTTCTCAGCAGGCTTCTGCAGTTGCTCCTTTTTCACCCCTCAAACTGTCTGTTTCACCTCCATTAAGTACCTTTGCTCGAGGAAAACAGATCTCTCTAATATGCTCCATCCCGGAAGGACTCGGGGCAACTGTGATCTTTTTCCATGTAAAGGCAAGAGATGGTGGATGGACCACCTATACACGGCAGTTAGAAAATACCTTGGACCTCAACACAACACACCTGGAAACAACACAAACATTTTCCTGCTCATACTTGGGAGAAGCATTCCAGTCTTCACTGAGTAATGATATTGTTATCTCCATCAATGGTAAGAAAAGTTCTATTTTGAATGGGTTAATTATACAAAGCCTTCCTCATCTTCATGCTATTATCAGCATTCTTTGGGTGGGTGGGTTGCCTGACTGGTTTTTGTTCCTTCCACTTCTTTCCCTTTCTCAGATCCCCAGGCAACATCTGTACCTCCAACTGCTCCACCAGCACCCAGATTGTTCTTGTCCCCTTCAAGAAGCAACTTTATCCAAGGAGAACAGATTCTGCTAACATGCTCTTTCCCACAAGGACGAAGGGCAAAGAAGTTCCGTTTTTATGAAAAAAATACAAATGGCACATGGACTCCATATAAATCTCAGGCAGAAAATACCTTGAACCTCTCCACAACTAACAATCAAACATTTGTCTGCTCGTATGAGGAGAACAATGCAGGAATATCAGCTCAGTCCCTCCAGAGTAACCATGTTGTTATCTCCATCACTGGTGAGAGATGTTCTGCTTGTGAATGCGTTACACACGAGGCCTTCCTCATCCCCATCTTAAGACTCCTTTTGGGTGGGACTTCCTGCCTCAAAAGTCTTCCTGCTCAGGATGGCATTGAGGCTTCTTTATTTGCTGTTATTACTTTTGTTGAGGCTGCAGGGGTGGTTTTGTAAGGCAACAGAAAGGGAGGAGTTGGACGCAAAATGAAAAATAGCTGTAGCACCGTTCTGCTGCATGCTGACAAGAGCGAAGCATAAACTCAGTTTGAAGGGAGTGTTGTAGGTGTTACTCACAGCTACATAGGGCCATACCTGCCGCACATGTACCAGGAGAGGCCAGCCCGTGGATGCAAGTGACTAGGTGGAGGACAGAGGAGTGATTACAGAACTTTGGCTAATGGGCAGTATAGAAAGTTAATAAATGCATGACAGGCTTTTATGGTTTAATGCCACTGAGAAGCAAGACACTGATGGCAGCCTGGGAGTGCTCCTCGACCCGGAGCTTTCATTGGAAGCTCAGGTGACAGCGGTGGCGAGGAGCGCATTCCTTCAGCTTTGGCTGATCCATCAGCTGCGCCCCTACCTGGAGTACGACTGCCTGGCAACAGTGGCACACGCGCTGGTGACTTCCCGACTTGACTTCTGTAAAGCGCTTTATGTGGGGCTACCCTTGAAGATGGTCCGGATACTTCAATTGGTTCAAAATAGAGCTGCCAGGCTGCTGACGGGGACTGGGCGTTATGTTCACATGACTCCAGTCCTCCGTCAGCTTCACTGGCTCCCCATTGAAGTCCGGGCCCAATTCAAGGTGTTGGTTATCACCTACAAAGCCCTGACGGCTTGGGTCCTGGTTACCTGAAGGAGCGCTTGCGTTCATATGTGCCCACCCGCCCCCTGAGATCTGCGGGAGAGGCCCTTCTCCGGGAACCCTCCGTGAAAGAAATTAGGAGGGTAGGTACTCGGAGGAGGGCTTTCTCTGCGGTGGCGCCCAATCTATGGAATGCGCTCCCCAGAGAGGTCCGCCTGGCGCTGTCATTATTTGTTTTTTGGCGCCAGGCGAAGACCTTTTTATTTAAGCGTCATTTTAATTGTTAATATTATGCTTATTTTATCTGGCCAGGGCGACTTATTTTA